TAGTTCTAGAAAGCAGAGGGCGTGAGAATAGTCACATGATCTCGCTGACGCAACACTTCTATGACTAGAAAAAAATATATATTTAGGAATATTCCCCAAAACTTTTCTGGAGGGGCTTCGCACTTTGTTAATGTTCTTGTGAATAATATGTGAGTAGTTGTGAACTTACTTTTCTTCTTACATCATTCTATGGTTACATACCGCAATAATTATTTCATAGATCTTATGCATAGCCAAATTGCTGTGACGTCTTCCATGTAATGTGGGTTGTACCTAAGTATATCAAAGGTGCAAACATTTGTACATGTTACTATGAGTCAGGAGTTAACTTTCTCCTGAATATGTATAATGAGAATGATTAATGACGTAGGAACAGCTAGATCAGATATCCTAAAGGTTCAGGTGTGATTGTACCAAAATTTGAGCTACTGACGAAAAGAAAGCCAGCCAATTAGCATTATGCGCCACCACAATGATTTTGTTTAAATCGAATAACAAGAGTGTCTGTAATTTTTCTAACTCGTATACAACTGAGACTGAGAGTACAAATGGTGTTTAGTGACACCACATCTTGAAGCTTTCGGTAGTCCGACACTTCAATCAATAGGCCTTAAAAGAAGCCCCCCAGTGGCACAGAGGTATGTTTGCGGACTTACATCGCTAGAAACCGGGTTTCGATACCCGTGGTGGGCAGAGCACGGATACCCCATTGTGAGCTTTGTGCTTAATTCCAAAAACTTTCAAACTTTCCTTAAAAAAAGCTCAAAAAATTTTCATCGAGGTATGAAATCCGGAGGGAAAAGAAAAAGGATTCCACTTTTTCTTGATTTTTGTCGTAAAGATAAACAAGATATTTCGATTATATCAAGTTGTACACAATTTTTTTTTCTAATTACATTATAAATATAAATAAAACACATTGCTTTTAAAAATTAATATGTTTAACAGTTGTTCAAATTGACCTTGTTATGAAAGTAAGAAGACGTGATCAGCCAGTCATTGATTTCATCTGATATTTTTTATTTGCAGTAGGACAAAAAGAAATCATCAATTTTTATTTAGGTCATAACAAGAAAATAAGCCGGGTGTAATTGCACTAGCCAATTTGAAGATTTATAGACAAACCATACTAACGATACTAATGTTTTAGATAGTGTATCGAAGTCTGTTGTGATAAGTAATGTCTGTGCAGTCTTTGAAAATTACCAGAATTACTTATTAAATGCGACATTTTCAGGATTTTACTTTTTTTTTTTACCTTAACGGCATCTTATGAGCATGAGGGTTAGACGACCAAGTCAGTCCACTAAGGTTTACTATAGCTACCCCTAATTTTGAGCTATTGACAAAAGGAAGGAGAGCCAGCCAGCAGTACCTGTCATCACAAAGCAAATGATGGGATTAATGTTACTTTTATAACGCGCCCACAGGTGAAAGTGTGGAGCGTCGTCAAATTCATAATGTATTAAACGTTGGACCCTTCTATACGCAATCTGGCACGCTGACAACTTGTCAACAACCATACAGCAGAACTCAGAAAATGAAGCGCAAGTTACTTAAAAAGCCATATTTCCCATTAGTTTTTTTTTTTTTCAGTTGTTTGCACAAAGCTATACAAGGATAATCTATTTTTGAAATGATAGACTAGAAGGAAGGCAGCTAGTCAACAGCACACTAATTCACAAGGTTATGCCCGTCCCTTTTTCATTAGCTCCAAACGTTGTAAATATTTTTGTAACTTATTTTAATTTGGGATAAATGAATATAACACATAGCTTAACCTATTTTGTACAATCAATGCATAGGCAATTAAAAAAACCTAATTTTGAACCGGCCGAATTTCTGACTGTAAATACTTTTAGTGCCTCTTTAAAAGCATTATTAAGTTGTGCTAGAAACAGCGTGAAATAACATATTGAGACAACTTTAACGACTTTCCCTCCAAAGACTAGATTTGTTTCACTTGAGATAGTAAATTTCATAACTTGTAGGTCTGTCGTTTAAACTGAACAAAACAATACATACAGTGGTGGGATTCAAATATTTTAACAACAGGTTCTCTCACTAGCAGCATGTAAAAATATTAGATATTAAAA